GCTGTTTGAACAAGAGAATTGAATCTCTTCCAGAGGCCTTTACCATAAGCCGGACAACTTGTAAAACACAATTACTTCAGTGTGTATGGAATATCTCATATTTAGCCACCTATTTAATGCTGTAAATCCGTTCTGCTCTTCAGTTTTTCCACCAAAAAATCTGTCTTGACATTCTGACATATGAACTCTTGTGGGGCACCTACAGAGGTGTGAAACTGTGAGAGACCTAGAAATTTTTGTCAAGTACTGCAGACATGTGGTAAAGAAAGGCAGTTGGAAGGAAGGGACATGAATAAGGAAAAGGGGGACTTCAGTATAGAAAAACCCCAGTGTTTTGAAGTGCTATGTTAACATTTATCTCCTGAATGTACGGAAAAGTGCTCCCTAATTCATGAGCTGTGGAAGTCAGTATTGCTTGAAAATATCAGCAGTACATTTTCTGGAAGAATTTTAGAATGAAGACAGTCAAGAACTTTGTATTCCTGGATGTCCAAAATAAACATGCAGCAAGTGAACAAGGACATAAACGATGTGTGATATCTACTAGAAGACAATTGACAACAAATATTAAACTATTAAATCAAGGGAGAGGACAAAAGGAAAGTTATACCTCTTACTGAGAAGTTTTTTAATACATAATTTTTCTGAAATCACATCTTGCTAAACTGTGTGAGTAGACTTGAACTTGGTGTGTTGTTTTCTTCCCTGTTATTGATATTGTCCATACCTCTGTGTTACTTTTTGTTGGTGATCTCATAGGCATCAGAAAAAAACCAAATTTTCTCCTATTGCTCTGCTGTGAGAAGAAAAACTGCCATAAGTTCCCTTTTTTTTAACAAGAGAGCTACAGGTGATGTGTAGGAGATTTTTCACTGCAAACTGATGAAACTTGGGTCATTCTCAAAAATATTTATGGCTCACATGGGACTCATTTTAATTTTTTTTTTTCTTCATTTTCAGTGAAGAATGCGAGACCTAACAGCTCAGGTAACGAGCAGTCTGCTGCAGTTTCCAGAGGTGACTGTTGAGGCGCTTGGGGAAGATGAGATCACCCTAGACTCTGGGCTGTGTGGGAAGTTTTCTGGAGGTGAGCATTTTCCTTTAGATTTGGTCTTGGTTTAAAGTTCTTACTGCCTGAAGCACAGGGTCATAGCATCAGGCTGGTTCTGTTAAAATGCATCAGGTTGTGATATAACAAACAAGATATTTTAACAACTAGAAATGCTAATATTAAACCATTAATAGAGTTAAGCATTGAAATTGCAAAAGCCTGCACCAATCTTGTGCTATTAAAGTGATATATACCGTGACCATCGTGAGTCAATGAGTTCTCCCCAGTTTTGAACGGAATAGAAGGCAGTTTTGAATGGAATAGAAGGCAGTTTTGAACGGAATAGAAGGCAGTTTTGAAAAAAGCAGTAGTGTCGTTTTGGGCCGCATTTCTTTGTACCAGCTCAAGCTCTATCTCTGTCATAACATCCCATGCAGAAATAGTTCTTCTACAATGTTACAGAGGCAGAACAGTCTGCTTTTTCTTCTCTAGTCTGAGTAAAAGGACAGAGGGAGAGGACAGCTCTGTTTAGCGCTGCCCACATATTTCCAAAGTATTTAATAGGATGCAGATGAGGACCCAGTGAGAGTTGCTGAAAGCAGCTAAGCAGATTAGGTAGTTGACTTTCTAGGCAACCTGAAAGTCGAGCTGGATGTCTCTCTGGGTGTCTGAGCTTCTGTTAAGACCAGGTAGAATCTTACCTACCTGACTAAGTGCAGTACTGGAGTTAATCCTTCCTTTGAG